ATGCGATTAATATTATTTGTGAAACCTTGCTCAATTATTAATTATGTTCCTAACACAAGTGAACTTGTGATTGAAATTAATTAAAGGAGAATTTAGGAAATATAAATGAGGAAGTTTTTATCCGAAAATAAATCAAGTCACTTAAAACAAAAACGATTTGTAACGCTCACACCCCGATACAGACACAAACTATTTGGAAAGTCGGAATATTCTAGAGTAAAACTGTACTTTCTCGGTGAGGGAATGTTTAGTGAACCTGATAATCACGTCCGGGATAGTCCACGGCAGATTTTAAACATTGACTCTTTAACACAACATACGGCGTTACTCAATCTTCAATAAACACATGTACGCAATTATCGCGCTTACAAGTCGGACACTCTTTGAAGCAGAGTATTTAAACTTATTCCTTAAATAAATATTGAGTAAAAATTGCTTTTTTCTGTCTTAACATTAAGTATACGTTCAGAGACAAACTTGAACAGTTACAAAGACAATAAAAAAAATAATGAAGGATATGGAGATAAAGAATCTTATACAATATCAAAGGCCATAAAAAATTACAAAATAGGAGCAGAGCAAACACCGACCCCCAAATCATCTGAGGTGTGATCAGGTGCCATGGAGGAGTGAGCATCCCCTGCAAAACGGCCACACCAGCTGTGCGCTCCCGGTCCTGATCGGGAAATAAAGGGGAAAAAATCCGACGTCAATTCAGGTATAAATAATGGACAAACAATAAATGTGAAAGACGTCAGTCAGCATTAGGTCATTGTATCGACCAAACAGCTTACGAAATGATAACTTTAAACGAGACTGCCTATATTCTTGTTTCATTAACTTGTTTGTTAATAATTTACCTCGTTTTAGAAATTGTTCGTACGTACAGCCTGTACTTGCGTATTAAATCAACTGAGATATATAAAGGCAGTATGCAGAGGATGAAGATATATTGCTGCATAAGTAAGGGAAGTTGACTATAGAAAGGTGAATGAGAAGACCTTGAAGTTTATACTTTGTCAATATATAAATGGATTCCAGGTGGATGTTGAATTCTCGCATTCAGCAATTAAGTAACAATGTGATAATAAAAAAAAATCTTACCTTCTTAAACGATACAGGAAAAATATAATATCCGAGTATCTCCTCCCACCCACCAAGCGGGTAAAGACTTTATTTTTTGTTGTCAAGCTCAACAGATGAGTTGGGATTTAATTCGACAAGCGAAAATTCAGATTCCATGGCTCCTTTTCTTGGAAGAAAATTCTTCAAAATATGTCCATTTTAAAGGATTGTCCATAAACGTCGCAGCCAGGGAAAACGATTCATTTTCTTTTTGCAAGATTGAAGAAATTTCCATTTTCTTGGTAAATGTAACTTTTACTGATCATGAATGATAAGTTTTATAAACATATTAGTTCATATAATAATATTTAAAAAAACGAAAATACACAAATGTGCCTTTCAGCACAAAAGCAAGGCTAGCGTAATTTCGTCTCTCTTGCTTGTTAATAATGGCAGAAAAAATATTTTGTGAGTGCAGAAAGGTCAAATGATTGAAGAAACAAAGCATTTTAAAACTTTATCGTCTCAATTTTAATGTGTTATTATTATTTTAATTTTTTCACTTTTTTATCTAACAAATATTTTGGGTTTCTGTTGAGACATCATGGGGAATTTTATTCTTTCTATCAGATCTTTTATCCTCAACTTCTCCTATAACACTGAATAAAACGTAATGTTACTTTTATGGATTATTTATTCCATAATTTGATTTTGATCTTGCCATTTTACTTTTTTGAGGCAACATTTATTTCTGGTATCCAATATACGACTGCCTTAATCATCATATGTGAGGTGAAGGATATTGTACACTGAAAGAAATACCTAGTTGATTTAACTAGTGTGCCTAGTAAAGCGTTCTTCGTGATTAGTAATCACTCTGTTTACTGGCTAATGCCTAGGTCACATTTCCCGGCCGGTAGCCGTAGACCGGTGGTAATCGGTGGTAATCCGTGGTGTAAGCGATGCCCCAACATCGGTCCACGTCGGCCTACTAATCCTTAAAGTATCAGTCACATTATCCAGCGATGGGTATACGATGGGCAACCAATGATTTTTATGATAAAAACGGCGTGGTTGCCGGCTGGACTTACAAAGGCCCAGCGATGCATTGCTAATCAAAAAACGATGTTCCAGGATAATCGGCCGATGTATATTACATCGGTCATACGTTGGTGAACATTGTTCGTACATCGGTCGACTACGGGCCAATGTTTGGTCGAAAATCGACTGGTGATCGGCAGTTATCTGTTGAACACCACTCAAACCCCCCGATGACCTCTGATTCAACGGATATTGGACGATGCTCGGCCATACATCGGCTGATCCTTGAAAGATGTGTTAATGATGGGTTACCGATGAGGAGTGATGTGAGGCATCGTTGGAGACATCGCTGAATTTTAACTACGAATTATTTCCTACCGATGACCCCACCGATTCGCAAAATTGCCTCAGTCACCGTCCGATCACTAGTGGTGCCCGGCCGGCAACCATGCCAGTTAAATCAAAAAACGCATCGGTTTCTCATCGTATACCCCATCGCTGGATAATGTGACTGATACTTAAATAGTAAAAAGTGGAGTGGTGGCCGTGTAGATACTAAGATACCTAGTGAAAGTTACTTATAAAATCTTAGATTCACTAATGTTATCTAGTAAATCTACCCAATTCCTAGTAAAACTACTTTTGAGGAAGTGATTGTATGGACAGTAAATTTACTAGTCTTCCCAGTGACTTTCACTAGTTTATTTTTTTTCACTCTATCATTTAATGACTGCGGTGCTTGCAGTAACTCTATGAGCTTGATTATTGCTTATCTCCAAGTCATCCGCTTTGGTTATAGCGTCTGCTCTAGAGTCGCAAAGTAAAAAGTTGATCCTTGCATTATAGGTTCAAATCCCACTGTAGGTTGCGGGGACTAACGCTTCGAATTAGATTGGGTTGCAAAACCAAAGTCTCGTGTCATTGTAGGTTTTGGCACGAAAAAAATATCCCTCCATGTTCAATGCATGGCACTGAGTTTATTTTTATAGTGGTGAATTCTCCAGAAAGAGGTTAAACAATATACAATCTAACTTATCTCCATATTTCATTGTTGGAATAATTGAATTCATAGTGCAAAGTGAAAAACTTTTTGAGGTTTTCTAATGCTTGGAGATGATGAAGTATAGTTCTTGATATCTTATTTTCATTTTTTTACTACGGAGATCAAAATTTTAAACAATTGACAGAAGATACATTATTCTTAAAATTACAAACATCCAATGAGAATTTATATGACAAAAGCAAATTTTTGACCCCAAAAATATAACATTACATAGTTTACAGATTTTCATACAAGTATAATTTATATTTATTTTTTAGAAGAACTTATAAAAGAAATATGTCTTATATATTTAAATACTTATATGCACTTACTGCTTGTAAATGACAATGAAAATATTGCTTTTTTGCTACCTAACCTAAAAAGAAAAAAAAGAAAAAAAGGGGAAAAATCCCTTTTCTTGATGATTTCTTTTCAAATTTGAAAAAACATAGAGCGCAATGTAGAACAAGCATTTTTTTCTGTCAATAATTAGTATTAGATATATACATCATTGGTAAAAATAAGTTTGTTCTAGTCAGCGTTCAATCTTTCCTGAAAGAAAAACTGACTGCATTGCAGTTTTATATCAAATATAATATAATTGCTTGAAAACATTAATCTTATGATGTCATACATTTGTATTTCTAAATTAATGGTATAGTGGTCAAATTGAAAATGACCAATAAAGGTTTCGTGTATAGCTGTGCGAATAAGGCCATATATGAAGTAAAATTAAGATATTCATTTTATTGGCCCATTCGAGTCACATTGTTTTTATTAAAAAAAAAACATTTTGCATGGTTTTCACTGAATAAGTTTCAGAGAAAAATGAAAGAAAAAGTAACATTTTGAATGTGACGCAAATTGATCAAGTGGGACGAAAATGATCTAAACTTTGAAGTACATTTCTCGAAGTTTATTATAATCAGATTGAAATGAACGGTCAATTTATCTAGTATAATTTATTGTGACGTCATAAAACACTTCTGGATCCTGTACCAAACGAAATTCGACGAACTCAGAAGTAGCCAATTTCCTTTCACGGAATTAATAGTGGTCGGATTGGAAACGCTTAAATGTTTTGTTTTCATTTAACATACAAATGGGCCAGAATGGAAAGAAAAAAAACTTATCTTTAACTATAATTCTTATTAAACATTCTGTCACAAACTATCGTTAAAAGTTGATTAAAAAATCATTAAAATATATGTCTGAAAACTTTTATACAATTAGAAACTATAGTAATAATAATTCAAGTGATCTATAGTTAACTTTTTGTTTAATAACTCATGAAGGGAAAGTAAATTCTACAACTCAGATGCGCCTGTAACAATTGTGCTAATCAATGTCATATGATCTCGTAGATAGCACGTCTGTTGTAAAATGCAAGTTTCTCGGCTGATAAAGATCCGAACAAAAGCACTTAGATAATTTACATCTTGTGATTGAAACCTGAATGATGATTATGACAATTAAACATATGAACGCCTTATGATTATTACTTTTTTTTCTTTGCAACAAAGGATGCCGTACAAGTATTATACATAAATACTATTGTATACTATCGATATTGTACTGGCTTTAAAGGAGGCACAGAAATAATTTTGTTTGATAAACTGTGTTTGTTCTATTTTACGTCTTATTACAATGTGTAATTAATATGGATAAATAAGTGACGATTATTACTTATTTATTCATTTAGAAAAAAATACAAAAATCCTCAAAATAAAAAAAAAATCTTAATAATTAAACGAAGGGAAGCTTCGCTTTTAAAAATTGACTTCCGGTTTTCAATGTTATCTTCCGGTAAGAAGTCGACTCGCCCTCAGCAGCTTGATGATATGACTTTACTAGTGGTTTCCTGCGAGTGCGGAAGAAGAAAGTTTGTGTCAGAATCAAGAGTGTTTTCCTTGTATTTAACTTTATTTTTTGCTAAAACAAAATATTCATCGTCTTAATCTAACAAAACCAAGTACATTTTTTTGTTAAAATAAACATTGAGGATTCAAAATGAGAAGTGTGAAGGTCATCCTCACTATCGAATTTATTTTTGGTAAGATTTTTCTTTACTATTTTATGAATTTTTTTTACTAATATCATATAATTTGTTTATTTTTATTGTTGTATGCTTATTCAAGAATTCTATTTGATTTATAATAGATAAAATGTTACTTGATTCACCTATACATTTATTTGATCCAAAGTGCTTTTAATGTCCCAATCAGATATCCAATAGTGTTTGAACAAAATGGTTAAAAATATTCAAGGTCTGAAAGTTGTTTATAGAAAAAAAAATCTTTTCAAGCGGCTTGCATCGCTACATGGTACATGTCCAATGAAGTGTAGAATTGAAGAAATATATCAATTTAATAAGTTTGTAACGTAGTGTAAGTTTGTAACGTTGTAACGAGAAGACAAGGGAAGTGCAATAAAAAAATAAATATTTGTTTCATTTTTATTTTGGAATAACTTTTTGAAAGTAGCAATGGGTTAAAATTGCAGCGCTACCCTGAAATTTTCATAACATTAGTAGTATTCAAAGGGGTTTAAAACCTGTTACTATACATTTTATCATATTATTTATCTAGAATTGACATTGTGGTGTTATGGTAAAACCACAACGTCTACCACCCTCTCCACCACAAGTATGCCGCCATCAAACAATTTAACATCGAATGCTTCACTGATACTTTCTACGACTGTTCAGAACACGACGAATGCGACAGGAAGTACGACGATACTTACCCCGGTTTTCACAACAACTATTAGTCTTGCGTCAATAAACAATATTACATCGAACATGTCGAATTCTTCGACAACAGTTTCACCAATCGTTCAAAACACAACCATCCCATCACAAAGTACGACACTGCTTTCATCTGTGTCCAGCACCAAGAATGGTTTGGACAACTTAACAACCACAACTCAAATGATCGATTCAGCGAGTATGGAAAACAGAACTAAGACAATCAGTAGTAATACCTCGGAAACAAGTAATACAAGTACAACTAATCAAACATCTACTTTTTCATCGACTCAAGCCGTGAAATTTTACAATGAAAGCACCGTCTCAACAACAAAACAACCTAGCAATATGAGTAGTGTGAGTTCAAGTCTCAAAACAACGACAACAATGAAAATGATGAATAATTCGACAAAAATTCCAACCACAACCACTCAGATCATCCTTTCAACAACCTTAGCAAAAACAAGTCAAAGACCTAGTACAACCACTGTTCCTAGGGTTTTACCTTCCACTTCCATGAAAACTACACAAGCTATGATGACGTCATCAAAAATTCCAACAACCAAATTGATGGCGGAATCAACACATGATCAAGTCAAGTTAGCTCCAGGGGAAAGCAAGGATCATGGCGATGTCTCTACAAAAGGTATATTTCTGAGGTTACTGAGTACTAAACATGCTTATGTTAATTAGAGTTCTCCATGCTTTTTTCCTTTGTTTTAACCACAAAAATTACTATTAAAATGTTTGTTTAAGAGCTGATTGCAGGATTGTTTAAGCAGTTTCAGTAGGGGGAAACCAATTTAAATCCCTTGACAAGTATAATATTGTTTAAATCTAATAAAGGGTGCACAAATATAGTCTATAGTAGGTATGCTATACTCTGAAAAAAATTACTAGGAGGGGACAAGTCTGACCTACCTTAACCCTTTCTTGTACGGTTCATACGACAATAGAATGGCCCCAAGTTTTTGATGCAGTGAAGCCAAATAAATGTTAGTTTAATTCAGTGGTGTATTTGTAGAATTTGGAACTGAAAGAATTGGGAACACTCAAGCCCTACCCCCCCCCCCCTTATTTTAATTGGCATATGGTACTCTTCATTCTCCTTCATTGTTGAAATAATTCACTTCTTTCATAAACATTGAAGAAGAAAGTAAATTTAACTTCATTTTAACCCCAAGTATACGTTAAACTTTTACTACACACTGTGTACTGAAGTCTTTATATGCTAAAAATCAATGTATTAGATTTTCTACAGCAGCTTTATGTGATGGTGCTTCTTCGTAACGGAATCAGCTGTTGTGTAGCACGCCCTTTGAACATTGACACACAAAAAATAATACTCAGTCCTAACATTTGATGCTGTAAAGTAAAAATGTACCTCATTCAATAATTGTATTCAGTATAAATAAGGGTATCCACGATATGCACATAAAAAAATTATCATTTTGTCGAAATTGATTCATCTATTTAACCGAAATGAAACCAAAATTTCCTTACATGTATATCGAAGTAAATCAACGATACTTGTAATGTAAAATCAACCAAAGTATAAAAAATGTGATTTCTTTTAATTTTATTTTGTTTTTCTTTCCTTGAACGGTTGTGTTTAAAAAGGAAGGAAATGACTTAAATTGTTACTTTGTAAAGGAAACTACACTTAATGCATGTATCGACACATCTAAACTGTGATCACTTTTCATATATACTGAAAGGAAAAAGAAACGCAGGGTAAACTTTTGAGGTGAATTAAATTTATTTTTCCTTTAATTTTTTCCCGTATTCCTATCACTTTTAAAATCATCTTTTAAAAAGATATAACCAAACTCTCATTTGATTTTGTCTAATAATTCATGAGTTATTGAAGATCATATGACGATACCCCACAAGTGAAAATAGAAAACTCTCATTATCTTCGATGTCTCTCCCGCGCATCTGTCATGAGCCTTATTTCTGCTTTGCATGGAATTCATCAAATTGTTTATCCTTCAAATCCTGGCTATATAGGGCACAGGTAGCTACGTCAAATAATTAGTCATACGACGCGCGCATGTGCCAGTGAGAAGAAACAACACTAAGTTGACCTGCTCAAAAATCCAAATTACGGAACTGTTTTCTTTCATTTTTCGTGTGAATGTAATGATTTTAATGGTCTACTATATAAAAGGCGGATTTTGTGGTAAAAAGGTGGCCATTTAAGGAATGGCAGGACGAATAATTTGCTCGAAACATGACTCTGCTTCGCGTTAACGTCAATGTTGATTAAAAACCATTCCCTCCTTACTCTCTGACAACGAGTAAGAAGTTTTATGGGGGGAAATTTACAAGAAACTGCTTAGTTACCCTTTGTTTTCTTTTTCAATAATTAGGCAATCCGAAAACAAGACCCATGGAACTTCTGTAAACTGTACCAAGATTGCAAGAAATGCATATCGTCTCTAAATATTAAAAACAATATGTATATCTCAGGTGCATCACATGGCGCAACAAGATTTGTTTGCAAACTCGTCGTAATAAAATTGCATGTATTTTGGGCTTTTAAGCGTTTTCCCTACGTGACGTCATACATTTTACGGTTGAGTTATTCTGAACACTAATTTTGGTGTATAATAACCAAATTTCTCATCTGACCAATTTTCGTAATTTTCGGGCATGCGGTTAAATTTTTTTTCGAATATTATGCTACCCTGCGTTTCTTTTTCCTTTCAGTATACATTTTGACTTATAAATTACATGTATATCAAAATAATTTAATATTAGGATGTGTCCTTGAAATGAAATAAAGTACATTTAAATAGCAAACAGTATTTAAGCTTAAATGTATATTTTAAACAAATTCTAGTCAGGGGAAACGTAAACCTCTAAAACATGAAAGGTTGGATTCGGCCATAGATGCATGACGTCCCCCGCCAATTAGTCACAGCCCGTGTGCTTCCAATTATGATCAGTAAATATTGGAATATTTTTAGCTTGTATTTTATGACCTATCCACGAGTATAAAAAACAATCAAATAGAATTTGACTAAATGATAGATTGTATTTTGTGGACAATGCTATGAAATCAACTATAAAATTAACGAAAGTGTTTTTTCAACTTAATATTTTTTTTTCATTTACTTACTTCGTTTAAGAAATTTAAAAGCAAACGAATTCAATACCACTGAAATTGCTTAGCAAAGATACAATCATAAATTGTTTTTAATCTTTTTGGCCATTTTGTTCCTTATTTGTTGCTTATTATGTATGTTCAGTCTTGTGATCAAGTATATGAAATAATAGATTGTGTGCAACCCACTTTCTGACAAACTTATTTTTTTTTTTTACATTTTGTATTTCCTTTTTTTGGTATGTAAAAAGGGATTTTCATTTTTTAAATGTGTCACATGATTAATTTTTTTTATCTAGTGATTTTTCTACTTTTATTTCATCGTTGTAATAGTAGCTTTTAAGCAGATAATGTGATTATTATTTCTAAGAGTCATGTGATTGATTTGCCGGTAATCACGTGATTTTGTTTATGTTGTAGTTGCAGTCTCTGTGGTTGCTGTTGTCATCTTCATCTTGATTTCGGCTTTAATCATCATCTGCATCTTAAGAAAGTTTGTATATTTATCGTTATCTATTTCTTATAATCAGATCATATATATCTTTTTTTTTCTTTTCCCTTAAAACTATTACGTGTGTAAAATGAAAAAGATATTTATTTTTCTTGTACAAGAACACTGCATATTTATAAAATTTCTTTCTCAGGCACGCGGAAGAGTAAAATTGTGTTATTAATCTTTTTTTAATACTTCATACATAACAATACATGGTTAAGTCAAGTATACTTGTTGAATTCTGATTTCAAACTTGTTACTTATAGGTAACTGCAGTTCGTTCATAATGTTCTGTTTTGTTCTGGCAATTTTTCGAGTTATACCTTTTGATGTAAAGCGATGTGTATCTTTTTCTTTTTAAGACGCTCGAACTCCAGAGGAAGTCCAAAAATAAACACAAACACCGGTTTCACACCGACGGTACATTCGCCAAGCAACATTAAACTGGATTTCGAAAATCTAAATGACGCGTCTGCCCCAGGGGAGTTTCTCATGGACAAGTCAATGATTGACCTCGAATCTCCCACACCCGAAAACGAGGCTCTGCAGACCGTAGCTTTATTGGATCACGCAACAGATGAGTTTGGATCTAGGGAGATAACCACTTTCCACCCGAGCAAAAACGAGAAAGAGGACGAATTAAACACATCTGGGAATAAAAATGGTGAGGATGAACAGGATTCTTCAGACGATGAATCATCGGAAGAAGAAGACGAGGAACCGAAAATGGGGGAGAAGAATCATGACAAACGTCAAGATAACCCAGAAGATAAAAGTTTACCGGAAGTAGGGAATGGTGAAAAGACAGTGAATAGCAATTCCGAGTCTGACGTTGCAGTGAAGGAAGATAGTTCGATGCCAATGACGACTTTCGTTTTGGAATCTGAAATTCCAAACGCTCTTCCTCAAGAATCTCAAAGAAAAAGTGTTAAAGTCTCTGAGCTTTGATAAAAATGATGTTAGATAAAATACTTAAGTGTATACTTCTACATGGGGAAAGTGTAAAGGGTTCACGATTTCTCTAAAAGATCTTTACAATTGTGTAAATGTCTTTTTAGATTTAAGAAATGCTTGTCCTTTTGTATACAGTTTGTCATTATTTTTACCTGTCAAAAATGAATTTGAATGACATGGATTTATAGAGTTGTGTAAGCGTGTGATTTTTTAATTTTTGTAATCCACAAGTGCAATTTCTTTTTTCTATTTTATGCTTCTTCCTAAAAAAAATGTATGTATTTACATAGGACAAAAAAAATCAATTTTTCTGACAGTGATGGAATATTTTCTATGCATATTTATAGGACTGAAATCCCCCAAGGTTGTGTGGTCGTAGCTTTATTTTTGGGAGGGGACGGAGATTTTGTAATATTGTTACAAAAAAGGGAAACAAAACACAAAAAAAGACTATACATGTATTCAGTTTTGGGATTTGTTTTGCTTAAATCCCTGTCCAAATGCAAAATACTGGTAATTTGATGAAGAGGAAAACGTAATAAGTAATTTTTGAAATATTGAAAGGTTTCAAATTGGTTCAAACATGCATAAAAACTTATTTCTTATGGACTTTCCCTTAGGTTCAAATTAATGTATACATTTCCAGTTAAACATTTCAAGCTACGGATTAACAGGAAGTTAAAATATATCTAGGACAATCAATGCACTAATTCATAAACTTCCTGCTTGTTATATAAAAGGGATGTTTAATTTACAATGTTTTTTGAACGTGAATGAAAGTGTTTTATGTTTGTTTGTTTGTGTTTTTTTCTTTATTCATAATTTATTATTTTTAGAATATATTTATTTTAATTTTAATTATTTTATATTTTCCTTTCATCAGCTTCCGCTTATATCAAAGCAACATGCATTAAGGACATACAGTGTACAAAGAAAGAGGGCTAAAATAGGTTTTGCCTGCTGCCCGATCCCATTCACTTAATGTAAATAATAAAATTTTGTATAAAAAAAATACAAAGAAACGTCACATTGATCCTTATGATTCATGTTCATTAAAAATGCACATGACGTGCCCGCGCCAGTATAAATGCTTAGATCATGATGATAAAAACAATGTAAATTTGATTTCCGGCTGTAAAGAAAGTGCAAGGGAGTGAGTGTTAGTAACGTACATGTTCAAACATTGGGTTTGTTTTATTATGTTGATGTCACATGTGTAATAATTTAGGGGAAAAAAATATATACATGTACAATAACCGATGAGCTTGTCTTGTTGAAGACCTGTTTTGTTTAAAAGTTGACATTTTAATTGTTGAAAATGTGAGTCAATAAAACGATTTTTATATCAAGTAGTGGGTTTTCATATTTGCTAGTCATGTATTTAACAAGAAAAAGTTACAATGGATATTATTTCATCAACCTGACTTCCTAATGATATTGAAAAAATATAATAGGAAACTGCCTCTCCTTACAGCATGATTTAAAAATACATATGTAAGTGCTTCCTACATGTATATGATGTATTAATTTTTTTTAACTTACTTCCTAGGAAGGTTTTAGATTTTCATATAGAAAATTTTAATACACATATTCACATCTGGATTCCATGTTGATCTCTATAATGTACTCGTATCTGCCTGAAAACTTTAATATTGACAAAAATAAGCTAAAAGAAATCAGGCACCTAGCGTCAGAGGGGAAGGGGAAATGTTTCCACTTTTTACTATGGGAATTGTTCATTGTGTCAAAGAAAGGTAATGAAGTTTGTATGAGTAAAAAAGATACTGAAGCTACCGTTCCCCGACGAAAAGGATTTTTAGTTTCCACCTTTTTTTTCAGAACAAACTTTTTACAATGGGAAATGTTCATTGAAAGTAAATGACCCCCCCCCCCCCACACACACTTTTTTTTTCACAGTAAAGTAAGGGTACTGTAGATTGAATATTAAGTAAAAATGATATTGAAGCTACCGTCCCCCAACAAAGAGAATATGAGGTTCACTTTTTTTTTTTTTTTTTTTTGCTTGTCAATTCTTTTCAGGTGAGTTGAATTTTTGTCCCCCCCCCCCCCAACATTAACAAATGATATGCTACCTCTCTTGAAAAGCAATGTGGTCTGTTTCTTTGTACATTTAAAAGATATGTTACCGAAGGTCAAAATGCAAGTAAATTCATAACGAAAAAAATCAACCGACTCCTAGACGACAATTAGCGAGGCTGTCACAAAACAAAACATAAAAATCTTTAATATATCAGAGGGATTGAGACAAAGTCGAACCAAACAAATTAACGTCAGTTGATAATTAGAATCGTCTGCAGTTAACGACAACGTTGGCAGTCATTTTCACTAATCCTATCGCATGTCAGGTTTAACAATCTATAATAATATAATGGTCTCAATGAACATGAATGTCAAGAATAGTTTTAAATTTCGGTAAATTACAAGAAAATCATTTCAAAAATTTAAATGAATTGGTAAAAAAAATTGCATTGATATTACAAACTAAGAATTAAACATTCGTGGGAATGAAAGGGAAAAAATTAATTCATTATAAATTGGAGATCAAATACTTTGATTGTTAAGGAATTCTTCGAAATGTGAGTAAAGCATTCTTCAGTTTTTTTTCTCAATTTTTAAATTTGCATTAATTACATATTTACAATTATTTATAATGTTAATTAAGGTAATTTACTTTACGCTTACATTTATTTCAAACTCTGTATTTTTCGACATTTACTAGCTGAAGTTCGGTAAATAATGAAATGTCTTTTTTGAAAAGTAATTTAATGAGGAAAAATTGTTCTAAAATTATTTTCTGGACCTTGTTGAGAATATTTTTTTCCTGCACTTAAGCGAAATTGTGCATAAAAATATTTATAAGTAGATAGAAGGATTCTGAGAATCAAACATATTTTCCCCTAATCTTTAAATAGTTTAAGAAAAGCGTGTAATACATCTTATTTACCTATATGAAATGAACTGCTTTACTCAGAGCAATTCACTTTTTCTCAATCGGGAATTTAAACAGGAGGTAAAATTTTATAAATTTCTGATAACACACATGAACTTAAATTATTCAATTTAAATTTGTTAAATTATCACCGTCAAATATTTGTGGCTTGTATTTAACCTAAAAAAAAGTTTCTCCGTAATTCAGAAAATTATTCGGAAAACTAAACGAGGAAAATTCAGCAAGAAAATTGTGTCACATCTTGCAAGAAATTACCGAAAAATGAAAAAAAAAATATATTGAAAGGAATTCTGAATTCAATTTAATTCCACCTACTTAATGATTCACAAAACATCGTAAGGTCAGACGACACGTTCCTCAAATATATGTTTTGTATCTCTTGGTATTATATCAAAAATTATTCATATTAGTCATTCTCTTTTGATTTCTACATTGTTTTCAAAATGTTTTTTAATGTAAGTACACAAAAATTTGAGTTACAGACCATTTAGAAAATTACCCATAAGGGTTATATAAGAAATATGACCCTGTGGCATCTTTTCCAAATGCCTGGTAAGGTACCCTAATTTTTTGTGAGGAAGCTTGTTTTAGTACCTTTACTTCAATGACAAATTCTTAGAAAAAATTATATATTTTTGAGGAACGTGTCGTCTGACCTTAACATACAACCTTGAGACTGTAAAAGTGCATTTTGCTATCAGATTACTATAACGCATACTTATTAATTAAAGTACATAAATCCATTTCATAAAAGTGAGCTAAAGTGAACATATTTAAATGATTATTTAGAAAATAGTAAAATATAAAGAGAGATGAACCGAGATATTTCACATTATATAGCTTTCTGAAATTAACCGCGTTAACTATGGATAACATAATTTTTTGCAATGATTTCCTTCGACATATCATTATCTAAATTATAAATGTTCAAGTGACAATATTTTTTTCGTATGTCTTAATGTCATTTACGCATTGATCATGTAACATGTACGAGCATGTATCATTTTTTCCAAGTGACATTTATAAATGAGATTCTTTTAACAGAGTTGTCTTTCTTTTCTCAACAATTAAGTTTAACATGTATTCATATTGGATTAATTTCCTGTCTGACTTTTTTATTAGATTTGAATAAATTGTATCTAGAGAGATAAAAAATGATATAAATTATATTATCTTAACATTGGTCCATTATTTTACTCACGCGACTGATTCTGTGCCCTTTATTACCAATCTTTCTTAAATAAGATAACAATTGCAAACTTCTGCAGCGAGGAGAAAAATGACATCAAGGAAGATTTTAATACCGGTCATTTTCATTCTCATGGAACTTACTCCTCTTTTGTGTTACGGTAAGTACCTTCATATCTTCTAATTCTTTCTTTCTATCTCTCCGTCTGTCTGTCTGTCTTTCTTCCAAACTTCTGCATAATTAAATATTCAAATATAAGCAAACATAATCTCCATTAAACTATTTTTTTTAATTATAATTATAAATGAAACATATTTATGAGTTTCAGTCAATCTTGCCCTTAAGAAGAACACAGTTATGAGCTCTCAATTCGAAAAATCCAAAGATGTGAGTTCTAGAGCAGTGGACGGAAACAAGGGATTGCGCACGCCCGAATGTATCCTATCTGCTTCCGGTCAGCACCAAGCTTGGTGGCAGGTTGATCTTGGAGCGGAACAAAGTCTGTCCTACATACGGATCAACTATCACAAGAGTTTGTTTACTTTTTTTAGACACAAATAGCTAGGTTACTTAAAAAATGGCTCAAAATGAATTAAATGAAGTGAAAATAAATTTCTGATTATACATGTAGGCTGATCCAAGTTATGAGCGCCGCCATTTTTGATCACGTGACATGCAGCTATAACGTAGTCAGGGTTCTGTTCAACAGAGCGAGTGCTCTCAAATATTTCTTTTGGAGATAAAAGGCAATTGCGCTCGCGATCGTTCGCTCTGCTGAAAAGGTCTCAGGTGCTTTTAAAGTGTCAGAGTTGACGATATACATGTACATGTAGCAACAATCAATTTTAATACCTCGGAAGGCTTCAAATATGAATTTGATGTTTTGGGGGACTAAATTATACAGGCTGTGAATCTTAAGGGTTGTTTTAGTAAGGAGGGATGACCGCAAATATTTTGTCATTTTTAATACGCGTGTATTTTAATTGTAATTTTGTACTGAGTAAAATGAAATATTACCTGTAGATCTACAGTGTTGAGTCAAACTATTTTTTTTTTTTACAAACTATATTCATTGTATGCATATATTCCTGAAACCCTATGATTTAAAGTTTTATTTTAACATTTTATTAGGTAATAGCTTAACAATATTTTGAATAAATAAAAATTAATACACATATACGAGGGTTGATCCAAAAGTAATGTCACAGTGTCCATATCTTTTATGTTTGGCTTCATATTATCAAATGCAATATACCAAAAGATGCACAAATATAAATCTAATTAACATTGAAATTTTAATTTCATAATCTTTATTTGAATTTATTTTATAGATGTTTAAAACATAAAGCATAGGGGGTGTCGCCGCGTCACAACGGAACGTCACGTTTTAAAGTGTATTTTTCTCAGAATGAAAAAATACCACTGAATGAAATTTGAAAAAACTTTCACAGAATCTTTATTACATATTGCCATTGTGCACCTACTATTTTACTTTTTGATCCGACACATATTTTGGGTTTCCAGGCCACAGCAAAACATGGACTTTGCAATTATAGCTATTTGGAGGCGGGGGGTATCGAATTGGGGAGCTCATCGCTCACAGTACCTCTAGTTTTCTCAAAATGAAGTCCATCAAAATTCACGACGCTGAAATATCTATAACACACAAGAAACTAACAGAATGTAACCGCTCGAGCTCGTTAGAACACACAGTAGGAATTTTGTATTATCAATACTCTAGGAACACCACATGTACAATTAATGAAAAACTATAACCCTGATAACGCGCGGTATTCAATTTGTCGGCACGGCCAGGTGTGTTATAGGACTGACGACATCCCAAAGTATGAATTCAATGCTAAAATATACACATATTTTTTTTCAACATATTTAGATGGGAGTACCATGGCTGGATTTCAAATCTACGTATCCAGTAGTGAAGATTGGTGGAGCGGCCATAGATGTTTTCATCACACAGACCTAACAGCGCCCCCTAGTGTCATGAACGTCACATGCCCAAATCATGGTCGGTATGTGACGTTTTACAATGAACGGAACTCCTCGGAAGTTTACCCACTCACATTTTCAAAATTTGCCATATTCCTTTGAATTTTTCAGGTCTGATTTGAAAAAATAGATTTATTTGCTATATTTATTTTCGTCGATGGGTTTAGTACAGTAAGACAAAATCGCAATCTTGTGTTAATGAATATGTAGAATTAATGTTTTATCCCTTTATATGCCGATGTTAAATGAAATATAAAATATATGATAATTAAAAAAGTATAATTTGCAAATTAATAAAAAGTAATTATTGAGGGAAACAAAAAATATGGCAAACCCTAAAAAGTCTATAAGTAGCAGATAATTGGGAAAAAAAAAATAAAATCGCAGGCACAGCAAATTTAATTTTTGAAAGTTTAAATGAGATTTGCCGGGCAGCAAAGATAGAAATTTGAGTTTGAAATATTTATTTTTTAACTAATTTATTAACTAGTGTAAATGTGTCTATTATTGACAGGTGTCCTAAGTGGTAGAATGCTACCGACTGCAAAAGAAAATGTCCTATAAACTGTGAATTTGATCGCTGTGATATTGAGAATGGCAACTGTTTTGCCTGTAAAAATGGTTATATCGGACAGCGATGTGAAACTGGTAAACTTTCTATAAGTCTTTTTTAAAAAATAATATTTTTTACTCCTTGTCGACAATAGTGTATATCTCCCATTTTATTGTTTAAGATGCACAAAGTTAAAATGAATTTAAAATATTCTTTTTATTGGATTTGTTTTAACATTATTCATGTTTTAGAGTGTACAAAAGGAAAGTTCGGGAAGAATTGTAGTCTTTCATGTGGAAACTGTCTGTATGAAGAGCCGTGTAATTTTGTTGACGGCGCATGTGCAAAGGGATGTTCACAGGGCTGGAAAGGACACACTTTACTGCAATGAAAGATATTTAAATTTTTGTTTTGATTGTCCGTCTCCCTTGAAAGCTTTCATGCAAATGCACATGCATCATATTGCGGTCTTGAAAAAAGGGATCATGGTAGCAGTGTATCACTATAACTTACTATTATAGCTTGCAATCCGGGATTTTACGGGTTAAAATGCACAGAAACCTGTAGCATACATTGTACGGATCCAATGTCATGTGATCACGTAAACGGAAGCTGCGCAGAAAGCTGCAAGGACGGTTGGGAAGGGGACAAGTGTGACCAAAGTAAGATTTTGGGGGATGGTTGACAGATATATTTCAAAGTAGCAATAAAATTATTAATACAGTTGTAATCTAAATCGGGATGCATTTTATTTTATTATACTTTCATGTTGAATACTAAAATCTGATTGGTTTAGACGCAGTTAACAATCTGTTCTATTACCCTCAGCCTTAACAACACACGTGACAACGGGTAACACAACGACAATGCCACATGCATGGAAATTATGCGCGTACGGTTCACCGTAGAATTCTCAAAACGTCAGTTGCGCGTTTGAAATAACCGGAATAAACTTGACGTCAATAAAAGCTTGCATCCGATGTAGCTTACTTGAAAACAAACGACAGACGAAACATGCTTGCGAGTGAAGAAACAAAACTTTAGATGATAAAGGACTCGTAGAGTATCAAATAAACAATAAAGAGGTCAGTAACTCTTTTTCAAAGTAGTGGGGAGTTTGAAAGCTTTCTAAACGTGAACGAAAAGGCGATCGACGATTTTTATTGATGACAAAGTAAATCACAAGACATTCAGTATAATAAAATAAATGGTGCCTGTTTTGGAGGGTAACAGTTGAAATTGACACCCCTCGGAAAAACCATTGTCAACCTCCGCTGACGCGTCGGTTGACAATGGTTTTCCTTGGGGTGTCAATTTCAACTGTTACCTGCAAAACTCGGCACCATTTATACAGTATACGTGGGCGCGTGGGTCGTAAATGTTCTCTTGCGCTGATGCTACAAATATCGCAAGGATTTTCGATAGGCATTTTTTTATGTTCAGAAATATTTTTTTTTTTTATTAATAGAATGTGAAGAAATGAAATATGGGAACAAATGTCAGCACTCATGTGGTCATTGTGTTAATGGTGAGATCTGTAATCAAGTGACTGGTGTGTGTTCAAATGGATGTGCAACGGGATGGAAAGGGAATGTTTGTGATGAAGGTTTGTACTCATTTATACTTTTTTTTTATAATAAATCAAACCTTGAATATTAGAAAGGCTGGGGCAACTCAAAAAAAAAAAATTAAAAAAATTCACCGAAGAAGAATGGTGCTCCTTATTCTTCTTAACAAATTATACATACGGTAACCTTACGAGAAATAATTAGTGTAGATAACATAATTTTAATTTTTCATAGAATGTGATCCTGGCTATTTCGGTTCGTTGTGTCAGGATACGTGTAGTGAGCACTGTATTAACCCCATGTCATGTGACCACGTAAACGGGTCTTGTGACGATGGATGTAAGGATGGGTGGATCGGGTCCAAATGCATCGAACGTAAGTCTCGTTCTTCTTTCACGTTTTTTAAGCAGTTAATGCTATTTCAGCATATCAAAAACGAATTTAAAAAATTGAGTGTATGTTTTTTAAAACAATGACATCGTATAAAATGATAATTATTCTTTTCATGTTATAAACTCACTCTACATGTTTGTTCCTTTGCTCAATAGTTTTATAAATATGTAAATTATTCAAATGTATATTTTAGTTTATTTGCAAACGGGTAAAAACTCTATCAATTTCGTTTGTTTTCTTGGAGTTATGGACTCATATTCATTAAATTTGAAATAGGCTACATGTACACATAAAAAGGATGTAATTAACATAGTGTCTCATATATGCATACTATTTTCAATTTTTCATTTAAGAGAATATATTATACAGTCAGTGTTTCTCGTATTGACAGAATGTGAGAAGTATTTTTATGGAAAAGATTGTGAAAATCACTGTGGACATTGTTCTGAGGGCGAATTCTGCAATCACGTGACCGGAGAATGTCCCAATGGATGCGCATCCGGGTGGACTACGGATATTTGTAGTCAAGGTAAATCAAAATTAGTGATCTGGTTAATCACTATTAAATCAGACAAAAATTTGCATTTTCTGAAGTCTTAAATCCTTCAAAGTACATATAAAAGGGAATTAAAATGCTGATTATTGAAATGACGTTTAATTGCCTCTTAAACTTTAAGCAGTAAATTGTATTAATATTGCAGAATGTGATCCTGGATATTATGGGCTGATGTGTAAGGATCAGTGCAGTCCACATTGTTTGGATTCTATGTCATGTGATCACGTGAGTGGGTCATGTGATGGAGGGTGTAAGGATGGCTGGATTGGAGCTAAGTGTCGGGATCGTGAGTATACAAAAAACAAACAAATTGTGAGTGGATATATTTCAGATCGTGAGTAGACATAATTTCGTCTTTCATTAAAGAAACAGAACACACGGCGAATGTGACCGGTGGAAAAGGATGCTTACTACCCCTTCGGGTCTTTATCCCAACTATGTTTTTGTAGAAGTCCTTATTTTGCTTTG